TTCCTGCTGCTGTATCAGTAATTATACTTGTTTATGGTTGCCATTGTACCTTTTGTTTACATGATGTGATCCAGCTATGCTACCTGAGCAGTTCTTATCTGGGCTAGCTGTCTTGTTTGCCATTGCATTAAGATGTTCCAGTTGCTTGATAAATGGGACAGGATGTGGTCCTTCTCACCTTTAATGCCCCCCCACCAGGACAGTCTGCTGCTTATAGCACTTATGTTGTTATGTAGCTTCTTTACCCTGAGTGATCAATGGTCTGTAAATCAGCACCAGCTGCCACTTAAGGAAGGTTATAAGAAGCATTTTCTGAACAAGCAGTCTAAAAGTCTAAAACAGTAGCTGCCAGGTCAAAAAGGTTATATTCTTTTGCATAGAGAGTGCAACAAAGAGCAAGAACCAGGATCAGAAGAATCAGAATCGCATTTATTGGCCAAGTATGTTTAAATATACAAGGAGTTTGTCACTAGTATAGAGGCTCTCAATGTGCTTGTAAGTCAGCAAGAAAAATAAAGAATTTATTTACACACACACACACACACACACACACACACACACACACACACACACACACACACACACACACACACACACACATATATATATATATCCCCCTTGTGGTACCAGAGCTAGCAGATTATTGATTTTATTGCACTGGGGACTGTTCTATTATACATCAAAACCATTCATCAGACTGATGGCATAGTGGAAGAAACTGTCCTTGTCTGGTTGTTTTGGCGTACAGTGTCCTCTAGCACTGGAATTGCAGTCAGAGGAACCTGTGTTTTAGATTCACAGCCAGCTACAAAGGTTTGTAGCTTTAGTTTCAAGTTCAGTCAGAATGTGTCCTCAAAGCAAAGCTGGGACTTGGCAAAGTGGAAAAAAAACTAATCTGAGCTAAACCTAACTGAATATGAATACAAATGAAATTCATCAGACTGTAGAAGATTTCTCAAGTGCTGTCACTACATGAATTCAGTGAGACATGTAGTTCTGCACATATAGAAACAGCCATTTACTATTTATTTGAGATAGTAAGGTGTGATGTTTTCAGGCACTCATTACTAACACTGCATTGCACTTGATTATTTCTTCATTTGCCTTCCAGAATGACGAAAGACAGGCTGTGTTTTACAACGGGGAACATAAGCAGGGTGATCGACAGGAAATAAATGACTGCTCCTGCAACAGGGAGCCACTTTCCCCTCATAGTAAGAATGTTGTAGCCTACTGGTCAGATATTCATCAGCGTCACACTGATCACCACCATGTAAATTGTTAAATTGTAGGGTGATGGTTTAAGTGTTAGGATTATAGATGGGCAGGTACTGGTAATAGTTCATTTTAGGATAAGTAAAGTCCATGAGGAATGAAAACGAACGTGTGTGTGTGTGTATGGAAATGTGCACTGGATTGACCTGTTCTGTTATGACGGATTGAGTTTCCGACCTGACTTGACTTTCCTGTTTAAGTTTAAACCTTAAAAGACAGAGATGAAAAGTGAGTGACTGTCTAAATGTAAACAGGAGGTAAGAATAAGATCAAGACAGACAGAGCTCATGTGTTTTAGCTGCTGTTGTTAAGGTAAGTCTGTATTTTGACCCCTAGCAACCAGACAATGTTAGTGAAAATTAGTGTGTATGTTTACCTGCATATAAATTCTGTTTTTACAATGAATCTTTAAGCATTAACTTGTTCACAGCTGAACACATTTTTCATCCATGCATCACATTGCTACTTAGCAGTATGTTTATTACTGTGTAAATGCAACATGAGGGTACTGTCAAATGTTACAGTAATGGTCTTAATTTTTTAAAAAGCTGGTAGAGAACAGACATCAGTGCTGCTAAATTCACTGATGATCCTCTTCTACATCATTAAGTAATTTATTCACAAATATTCTGTACCAAGTGAATTAAACAGACATTTGGTTGTAAGGTAGCATGAGTTTGCATGGTTCATTTTCTGAATATTTTACATCTAGATTTGGAAGATTTTCAACTTCACATCCATCTGTCAGTGCAGCTGAAATAACTGTAGGAACGATCAATGTTGTGACTGAATTGGTATCCTATAGAAACTTCATCTTTGGAACTTGTATAGCTTTATGCCTTTTATACCTGTTTTACTCCCACATATAGAGCATTTCGCAACAATATTTCCTAACCCCGGGGTCAAGCCAAAATCGTACTGACTCAAGCATCAAATACAGATGAGCGTCAGCACAAATCTCACTCTGTGTTCCAGCATCTGACTGAGCTGTGAGGCTGCTATAAGGGTGTTTACATCTGATAGCTGAAAGGTTAGGGTATCAGCTCAGACCCATCCTTTCATCCACATGTCACCTTGTTCTATTGTGGGCAAGAGAGAAGAGGCTGCTGTGAATCTCCAATCCAGTCATTTTTGGACAGTGCTAACTTTGGTTGGTTCAGTTATTTTGAACAAATCCCTTGTGTTGCAAGCTGAAGTGGAATGTCGTAGAGTAGGAACAAGTGACTGCTGTGGTTATAGTCAAAGGCATGGGGGGGGGGCATTACATTTTTCAAAACATTTCCTCAATCATTCACTTTGTTTTTAATCCTAAAGGTAACGTAAGACGTATAGGCCAGTGCATCTGTCTGACTTATTGCTGTCACTGCACAGCTGACTATGTTCATGACTTTATATGAATATGTGTTAATGCTAGCTGTTAATGAATCTGGCTCTGTCTGGCAGACAGGTGGGTTAATCTGCCTGTAGTCGGTGGAAGCCCCAGCGGGTTGCCATGGGAGATAAGAGATGCAGATGTTGTTGCTGGGCTAGAGAGACAGTGAAAGAGACTGAGTAAAAACCAAAAGATAAAAAAAAAACAGAAAATGAGGCCGAAAAGGGGGGAAAGTTGTTAGTGGGTTAAAAAAAGAAGTTACTACCATTGTGAGAGAACAAGTGCAAGGACAAAAAAGGTGACAAATAGAAATGTACTCTCTTAGATTGACAGCCAAACAAAAAGATATACTTTAGGTGGCTCTTGTCCTTGCACTGCTCTGGTCACAGCAGGTGCTATAACTGATGATTAAACACGCTGTCAACACTACAGGAGCCCAATCAAACACTGGCCTGGTGACCTCTAACAGCGCATACATACACAGAAGATCCCAGCTTGCTGTTGGTTGAGAGCACATGGTGACTGCCGGAGCTGCTATCTAAAAGACACAGGCACCTGTTCTTATTGTTGGTTGGGGTGTCTGGTGCTGACTCTGCAGGTCCAGGCACAACACTGCATCACCTTACAGGACCTTGAGTGGGCTAATATTAACTCATTGATAAGTTGTGTGCTGGCAGCGGGAGTGGTGATGATAGATTTTCACAAAGTGCAGGTGACCAGTGTAGAAAGTGACTTTTTTTTTTTTTTTTTTTTTTTTACTGCTGAAATAGTTATTGAAATGGCTATAAAACAAGTTCCTTGATTAAACTGCTACGGTTCAATGGTAAGGGATTTATTTCCTAGTTCATTTTGCTTTATGTTTTATGGCGCAGCTTGGTATTGGTACATGCTGGTGTGTGGTATTGGCTCAGTCATTTAAAGTACAGTAGGTCATGGTTTAGTTTTTATTGGCCAACTAGGTCCTTTTTTTTTTCTTTAAGTGGTTGAGCAATTGCGTAGCAGTGGTGGAAAAAGGAAGCATAAACCTGCTGTTGTGTGTTCTTTATCAGGAATGTTTTGTGAATTTCTTCCTTTAGACTAGACTTTTTGTAACAGGAAGTTTATCTTGCTGCCAGGATTTGACATCTTTGTGCCTGAGAGTGAGTACATGTGTCTGGCTTAAACCATGCTGCACACATGGTGTTTTATATATTACACTGTATGTTGTGTCAACACTGGAGCACAAAGACGAAAAGCATGTAGAGCGTTATCACCCCCACAGCTTTTGTTTGTGACAAGGTGGGAGCCCCGGGGACAAAGATGTGTGAATGCATGTGTATACTGCATGTTGCTTTCTGAGGAAGTGGTTTCTTATCAGTGTGTGTGCATGTAGGTGTGAGAGGCTGTTGAGAAACTCTCTGCCCTTCCCTGCCCTCTTGACACAGCTAAGTTTATACTGTGGAGGAAAGTCATCCACGGTCAGTAAGAGCTGCTGCTGTCAAAACCAATGTTACAAATGTACTGTAAGACCTTTAATTTAAGGCGCTTGGTTTTGTACTATGTGTCCAAACACTTACAGAAGGTGTAAATGAGGAGCAACTAAACGCATGTTAGGTGTCAATAGAATTTGATGCTCTGCAAGTCAAAGTGCAACAGTGTTGTAGCCTGTTTATATGCTCTGAAATCTTCTTTTGTTTCTATTTCAGTCTGCAGAGTTCTTTGATATGCTGGAGAAGATGCAGGTATGAAAACCTTTCCTTCCTATGAATCTGGTTTCTTTCTATACTGTCATTACTGTATCCCTTCCTTATTTCCCCACTCCCTTCATTTATCTAATGCCCTGTGACGAACATGCTGAGCAATAATTTGCTCTGTATCAGCATGTTTGTGCTATCAGGGGGTCATTCATTAGTTAAAACTTAGAACATGAACATACTGTGAGATGATCTCTGTCCTCTTTCTTCTTCCTTGACCACAGCCAACACATACTGTACAAGGATGAGGCAGACACTGATGATTCAGTCAGTGTAGGTGAGACTGTTGGGTTGATCTGTTGCTCAGATTATATAATGGGCCAAGGTCTGGTAAGAGTTGGACTAGCAGATCTATTTTCTCCTTCTCAGTGTGGAATACATTGATTTATTTATTTTTTTCATCTGAACAAAGTCTGTTTCTTTCTTATGTGACCGCTTTGTATAATAGGCCACTAAAGGTGCCAGCTTCTAAGGACAGATGGGGATGTAAAAAAGGAGCAGAGGAGGAGAAAAAGTGAGGGGAGAAATGAAAGCCACAGGAAAAAAAGGAATAGTAGTCAGAGGAAGATGCAAAGAAATCAAAAGTGCTTTGAAGAGAGAAATGTTCACTTTCATGCCGTTAATCAGACTTGCTTTGCATAGATATTAACTAGAGTCCAGATGTGAATAATAATTGAATGAGTTATAGAAAACAGTTGTAGCAATGTTGAACTCTCTATCATGTAGTTGTAAGCATATTTATGGACATTTAATTTTTAATATAAACTATTTATTAAATGCTATGTAGGACCTGAACAATTTGCCAAGTTAATTTCAGGCAAAAAGCAGTTTATTTAGATAGCACCTTTCTAAACCCAGGTTACAAAGTGCTTCACAGTTAAGAAAAAAAAAAAAAGAGAGCAAAACACAAAAAACAGGGTAAAGACAGAAAGCATCACAAAAACAAAGCACATGGGCAAATGGATGTCTTGGTCTGAACTAGCACTAAAAGTCAGCCTGCATAAATAAGTTTTAAGAAGTGACCGAAAAGCTGCCAGATTGGGGCAGGCCTCGTGTCTGGAGGAAGACTTGTAGCCACCACCGCAAAAGTCCAATTCCCACCATGTGTAAGTAGAGCTAGGTACATCTAGAAGAAGCTGACTGGCTGACCCTAAAGGTCTTCCTGGTGTGTGAATGTGCAGGAGCTCTGAGATATACAATGTGCCAAACATGCAATGTTTTGGAAATGAATAACAGCTTGAAAATAATTCTATAACAAAAAAGAACCCAATGGAATGAGGCCGAAACAGAGGTTATATGCTCGTGTTCATGTGTACTCATCAACAGATGAGCAGCTGCATTTTGGACCAGCTGAATGCAGGACAGAGATGATTGAATGATCCCAACATACAGGGCAGGGCATTAGTTTATTGTTGAACTAATGAAGGCATGGACTGCATTTTCCAAACCACTGAAAGGAAGTGCTTAACTTTTGCTAACAATCTCAGGTGAAAGAAGCTAGCTTAGAAACACTGAGCTGATCTATTTATCCAGCTTAAGGGCACCGTCAAATAACATTCCTTAGCTTCTTACCTGGGATTTCAAGTATGGGGCATCAGACCAAGATCACTGATACAAATACTACCAATTAGTACACACTCTGTTTTAACTTTGTTGATGTGGAGGAAATGTAGTGATAACCATGCACCATGCACAAAGACACCACATATTAAACTAAGAAAAAATAGCAGTGAAGCTTCTTTCCTTATAGAAAGCCTCTGATTTCCAGTCATACATTTTCTTAATGGCTACGTATGCTGATATTCTATTTTGTTTTGTTTTTTTTTAATCGGCAAACATTGTCAACACATGTTCTTTCAAGATAAATATGAGCACTGTAGTTTATTTTGAGTCAACTCCACATGCGCCATCCTGCTGCTGTAAAGACTCACCAGAATAACAAATGTGTATTAACTGCTAAAAATGGCTCCTAACATATTCACTGTTCACCTTTTTTGAGTAATGTTTGCTAAACTCTGTAGTATCAACTATATTTCTTTTTATAACAATAAATGTGGGAGCTGAGTAACATAGTGTGAGGGAGTTAGAAAGTACTGAGAGGGTTTTGTTGACAGTAAGAAAAATGCAGAGTAACGCTAGCCTTGTCCTTAAATTGTGAATTACTATTTCCCCACAAAGACAATAGCCTAAAGAGCACAAGATGCAGACTCACTGTGTGGCAGTTGGACGGACTGACTGAAGACTGGAGATATTTGGAAAGTGTAACTGGTGGATGACAGCCTATCGATCAAAGAGTCTCTCTCTCTCTCTCACTCACACACGAACACACACACACACACACACACACACACACACTGAGCACCTCATACATCTTGGCTGAACCTCAGGTTGCCTGGAGCTGCTCTCTTGAGCTGTGCCACCTCTAACTCCACATCTGGACCACTGTTCATCAAAGTGTGCTTCAATAATGCAGTCTAGATGGTGCTGATGAAGATCGTCATTTTCATTCCCATCTGTTCTTTTTTATCCTTTCTTCTTCTTTCTCTCCCAACCTCCACCTCTCCCTCATTCTGTCCCTTTTTGTCTCTTTGTCTATGGCTGAAAATCGAAACCTTTTAAGAGTGTCTTTGTGATCAGCCTAGTACTGGTGGCAATGACTCTCCTGTGACTGTAACAGCTGGTCCATCAATATGCACTCAAACAGACACACACCACTACAGAATAGACTGTGTGTGTGTGTGTCTGTACTTGGACTGTCCAAGTCTTGATATGACTGGAGGCAGTGGGGTGTATGTTCCCCATCTCTAAATCCCCACACATGCATTTATTTCCTCACTCCAATGCTCCGTCATGGAGACGAGCTGTTCCACTGGGCTTATGCCTCAATTTACCAGTTTACTATGTGTCTACAAGATTAGATTTTCAAATGTGCAAAACACTGCAGACCGAAAAAGGCCTTGCCCTGCACATGAGTGCTGCTGTGTAACAGTAAATGATAACACATATGGAAAAGAACATTTAGAGTGTGTGGAAGCTGGATTTAGAGAGAAAGAGAAAGAGAGAGAGGATGACTAAGTGTCTGTATTACCTGTGTGTGTCTGTGCAGGAACGTGCGTTAGTATGTATGACTCATTCAGTTGTCATCTGGCAGCAGAGACAATGAGGTCTGAAACAAGAAGAGTCATGTTCTAGGGTAGTTTGTAAATGTAAGGTTTATTTTTGACCCCGGTGCTTTTCTGTCCTCATGCTGCATGTGGACATTAAAAAGGTCCCTAAAGCTGAAGAGCCCAAAAAATGGAAGGTGTGAGCAGACACCCACTTGGTCTTATCTTCTTTGATGATCTCATCAGTTTGTTTTTTTTTTTTGTCCCCTGTTTCTCTGCATGTTTTCCTCCACCACTGCTTCATTGTGCCTCTTGATTCGCTCTGCGGTTGTTCGTGTCTCATCTGTCTTGCGTCTGAGGGATTCTGAACACCCTTGTTTTCTCAGGCCTCTTAAAGTAAAAAAATCAATAGCCTCCTGATCTGATTGATTATAAGCTGATTGAACTCCAACTTTCAATTGATCCTCTCCAGCCTGCGAGTAACCTGACTCCTGCTGCTGCAGAATATAAATGACTGACTGTGGGTACGCTGTGCTGCACTCTCAGCGGTGCAGAAGGCCTCAGCAGTATTTAGAGGTTATACACACCAGAGCTGTGCTATGCTAGCGGACTGCCAAACAACTTTAGGCTCATAACAGCACTTAACCCAGGGGTTACTAAATCAAAACAGCTCTGATATAATTAAGGGGTGACAAACCCCCATTGATGTTTCCTGATGACTGTGCACCTCTGACTGTTTCATCATTGCCCGAGAGTCCATTTTGGTTAAGTTGTGCTTCGCTTCTTTGTCGCCTCTGTTTGTGGCCCTGCTTGCAACTGTATCATTGTAGTCAATCAATGAAGTTCACTTTGTTAAAGTGAGTCTTTTAAAAAGTGTGTGTCCTCCGTTTTACAGGATGACTATATCCCCTACCCACGGATAGAAGATGTGAGTCATTCTCACTTGCGTAATATACTTGAAGCACACATTTGCACCTTAGTCATGCGTGACCATTTGCTGAGTGTTCTTGACAATAGATAAAACATTTAAAGCTAAAGCTCCTTTGCATTTTTTATGATTATTAGCTTCAAGCTCTTACTTCATGATTATTAAGCTTGAAAAACTTTATATTTAAAACTTTTTTTTTTTTTGCCTTTGTCTGTTTCCCTTGTGTCCTCCTCCTCCTCTAAGGTCCTGGAGAAGGGCGGTCCATATCCCCAGGTAATCCTGCCACAGTTTGGGGGTTACTGGATTGAGGATGTGGAGGCACCAGCAGAGACCCCCTCCTCGGAGTCCAGTTTCTGTGAGGAGGAGGAGGATGGCGATGAGGCCACAAGTCCTGGTGGAGGGCACAATTACCGCTTAGAGTGTAACAGCACAGCCCGCGCCTACCGCAAACACTTTTTAGGCAAGGTTAGTGTTAATGTGTGATTTAGTTTGTTTCACTGTTATCTAACGAAAAATCTGTTGTTGTATTTGAGCTAAAATTGCTTTCTCACACCCCTCTTTTCCAGGAACATATGAACTACTACTGCACTGGCAGCAGCATAGGCAACCTCATTATGTCTCTGAAACACGAGGAGGCTGATGGCCAGGAGTGTCTACGCATCATGCTCAGGTAACATGAGAATAATGTACTGTACAGTGCCAATATGACTGGTAGTACCTTAATGGGAACATAGATAGTTTAGCAGGTCTGTAAGCATAAACCAAAATATTAAATGTTTCACTTGATGATGGCTCAGATCACCAGCATTAGTAGGATTCATCTTGTAGGGAATGTCTCTACAGAATTCGTAGTGATCTATCCAATAGTAATATTTCAATCTGGACCATAGTGGTGGACCAGTTAACTAACAGAATAACATTATCCTCTGTATAGGTAGCGCCTGCAGTAGTATTAGTGGTGCTAAAAAAGAAAAACAAGCAGACCTACATGGATATTTCCTCTCACTCTATAAAACTTGTTGTAGTCTGTATGCTCTGTCATGAATAACTGAATACATTTGAGGTGTATTGGACAACTTTCCTACCATTATCACAGTTTTTCATTAACAGGTGACAAAGCTAACTGTTTATTTGGTATTAATCAGCCTATCTTGCTGTCTTTTTTTTCCCCTGTGTTGAGAGTTGCTGAGACTATACTCATCATGATCATAGTGTTTCTTGTTTTCCATCTTATCGGGGGGATTGCATATAAGCTCTGTGTTACCATAAACATCAGAAGTTAAGAAATCTTTTTCTTGGAACAAACCTTTGAATTCTGTTGCAGGTCAAGGGCCAAAACAGTCCATGACAGGATCTCACTAGCAGGTATCAACCAGTTGCCCAGCGTACCTCAGATTGCCAAGGTAATGTACAACATAAAAGTACATGACGTTTAAAAAATAGCCATTTCAAAAACACAGTCACAAAGGACACTATGAATATTTTTTTTTTGTTTATATACAGTTTAAAAATAAAATCAAACTTCACTAATAGACCTTGTAATGAGAGATTCAAAAGAGGTGATTTAACTCTTCAGCAACATCAGGTTTGATCTGACTCTTCCAGTGACAAAGGTCAGACTTTGAGGGTGTTGATTAAAACCCTGCCAGTCCAAATCCTTGTTTAAATATCATGTGCCCAGTGATAAAGAGATCTGTCTTCTAAAAAATATTATAAGGGAAATTTTGGCAAAGGTTTATGAAGCCACTCTCTAATACTTTTAAAAACTCACTTCCCAAAGAGAAACTGAAGGACATTTCTACATTAAATGACACAATAGGTGAATCCCAATTCTCCTAATTGCATTTGTTTTCCTCGCTTGTTTTTTCTTTGCGTCTTAGTCCCGCCCATATAAGATGCAAGGGCAAACTAAGGAGGCAGGAACAAGGAGACATGTTTTAACTGACATGAGAAGACCCTTCATGTGAAATGTGCAATCACAAACAAATTTTTGTAAAAGGATGCGTCATTCCATAACAAACTTGTATGTCTTCAGTTATAGCTTCTCAAGGCAGCCTCCTCGCTCTCTTTGCTCCTCAAAGCAGAATTAAGGGCTTTGGAACATTTGTCATCATGGTGGCCAGGAATGACTTGTGGGTTGAGCAAGGACTAAGGACCCAGAAACAATAAAATATGGGAATTGGGATTCACTTAAAGTACCTGCTTCACCTTTATACATCCAATATAGTAATTATCATGCATGACTTCTATTTTGCATTTCCTGATTATTGTCATGACATGTGAATCAAAGGCCCAGTCAGGTATAGAAAGCTATGGCATCCTGAAAGCAAATGATAATAAATCAAGGATGTACTCTGAGTGAAATATTATAATTTTTATATGGCAAGAAATGTATTTTCACTTCTAAGCAAATTGTGAATAGTAAACTCTATAAATGCCTTGTGCATAAACTTGACAACATGAGATAATGTTTCCCTTTTGGCTTTTACAGTTTGTGGTGTCTGTAGTTATAACAAGTCTTTGTTTTTCCTTTCAGCTTTTTTGTGATGATGCCACTGGGCTAAAGTTCAACCCAGTCCTGTACCCTCGGGTGAGTTTAACTGCCCTTTCACACTGACTTCATCTAATCTTGATTTGCATTGCCAGTTAGACATTTATTCAGTCAAGCTTACACAAGCCATATTTTGCTTTTTTTGTCTGCTTCTGTTAAGAACCAAAGGTGTACTACAGGGTTAAAACGATAATGCTCCACTGAATAATACATGCCAGGAACTGTCCCTGAAATCTACTGCAAATCCATGAATATTTAATGCTGCAGTGTTTATTTCCTATTTAGTCCTGGGGCATTTTTTAAAACATAAACTGATGCAGTGATTCCTTTAATTATTTTTGCCACCATTGCTTAACTGTTCCTACACTGGTGCCTTCAGTAATGTTTCAACTCCCTCTGACTCTTAACCAGAATACACAGCACAAAGCTTATCACATTTTACTCCTCATATGCCCCCTATATCTCTAACAGTAAGTACATTATGCACCAAGGATTGATGATACGAGGCTGCAACAGCTTTCTAAAATGGACATGATGAATCTGTTTTCCCTCCTGTGAGCCTGCTGATGGAGCATGCTTTAAGCCTGTGCTTCAGGGGGAGGCAAAAAACCATCTGTGCCTCAGTCTGCAAGAGGCAGAGTCGAGATCACTGCCCTCACTGGGGGCCGTGACAGTTTGTCGCATGCCAGGGCCCAATAAACCTGCCCTGGAGACATGTTGGAGAGGAGGAAAACATGTTTTCCCAACTAAGAGTTAATTAGTAAAAGTTAATTTTTTGTATGCATGTACAGGGATCCCAGTTGATAGTGGCTTATGACGAACACGAGGTGAACAACACCTTCAAGTTTGGAGTCATCTATCAGAAGTTTGGACAGGTGAACAATTTTAATGTAGCTGCATTAGTTTACCTTACTTGATGTACACTATCTGATCAAATACACAGTTTTATTTCTTGTACCTTTTTCTCTGCTTTCTGTCCTCTTCCAATTTTCTCTTCTTCTCAGACATCAGAGGAAGAATTATTTGGAAACAATGAGGAGACACCGGCTTTTAAGGAGTTTCTCGGTATTCTAGGCAACAACATTGAACTTCAGGACTTTAAAGGGTAAGAAGAGAAGTGAAGTAGCATAGTAGAGTACAATAAAAATGGAAAAACCAGGCAGTCGTATAAAAACAGACCCAGAGGGGAAAAAAAATGTGGAAGGATCAAACAAAGGATGCCATTAGTGCTTTACAACAGAGTGCAGTAATAGCAGGGTTTAATTACTGCAACCTTGGAGCAATTTGTCCTGCTGTTTTGACCTCGGCGTGCACCCGTGATAAACTGCTTAGTGAAACAGATCCTAGAAAAGAAAGTGCCACATTCACAGGTAAAGGTTTCAATGCTGTATTTGTCTTGCAGGCTTTTTCTACTGAATTACACTCATTACTTTCAGTGTCTTTTTCAAATTGTAGCTGACACATTACAGCAAATTACAGTTTTTCTGGGTGACACTGGAACTATTTAATCAGAAAACATCATTGAACCCACATTTTAAATACAGGAAATGCACTTATTTTATTACTGAAGGCTGTAGGCCACATTGAGAACATGACATGCGCTTTGATAATGTGACAGGTTTCGTGGTGGGCTGGATGTGTCCCATGGTCAGACGGGGACTGAATCTGTCTACACTGTCTTCAGACAGAGAGAGATTATGTTCCATGTGTCAACCAAGCTTCCCTTCACTGAGGGAGACATCCAGCAGGTACCAGATAATACTGGATTTATTATTGTTACACTGAGGGCATGATGGATTTTGCTGCTAAGAAAGGCCTCAAAAATATCAATATTAACTGGTCATGTGTAGGTACTGATGATGTGTTATGTTGTTCTTATTGCATGACTGAGTGTCAAATAAAATGCTTGCAAGGTATTTAATGTAGTCGTGTAATTCTCATTTGAAATGAACAAATTCATCTTGCATTCATTGGTGTATAGGTCATAGAAGAGTCATACTAAAAAAAAGCCACACAACCACTAAATAAATTACCTCTGCCTCCTTCAGCTCCAGAGGAAAAGGCACATAGGAAATGACATTGTGGCTGCAGTCTTCCAGGAAGAGCCCACACCATTTGTTCCGGACATGATTGCCTCCAACTTTCTGCATGCTTACGTGCTGGTACAGGCCGAGAATCCATGCACAGAGCACACAACATACAAGGTACAATAAGTAAATCACACAAGGGTGTTTGAAACGGCCAGAAGTTGCTGTCAGCTGGAGACAAAAAAAAAAAGCTGTGGGCATATGAACAATGTTTTCAGTTTTGTTTCAGCCTCCCATCTTGATACCAAAGTTCTCCTGAAATAACTTGGTGACTATTATTTATTTTATATCAACAGGTGTCTATTACAGCAAGGGAGGATGTACCTCCTTTTGGACCCCCTCTCCCAAACCCAGCTGTTTTCAAGAAGGTGAGAGACCATCTTAGTGTTTTTAATGTTCAGTGAATCAGCTTTTCATTTTCCACACAACAAGTAACTGCATCAATCCAGCGGCGGGCAAAAACACTGCACAGAAGGAAGGAAAGGTGCAGTGGTAGAAAATAGGGGTCAGGAGACAGGACCTGAGTTTGCACCTGCAGGATACAAGACTGAGTAAAAAGTAGAATCACACAACTGATATACTGTACTGTAGCAGAACTCCTACTGTACTCCCCCATAAAATGCAGTTTGTGTGTCAACAAAAGGCCAAGCAATGTTTTAATACATACATTTAGCAGCATGTTAGGACAAAAAAAAGAGGTCTGAGCCAGATGGGAATTTAAATCAGTGAGGCTGATACTCCTGATCACAATGTATGTAACTGTTATCTGTATGTTGTTGATAAGGTCATCTTTATTTTTCCTCATCACTAACCCCCACCCCTCTGATTATTCCCCATTTCTCTCTTACCATCTTACCCTCTCTTCAGGGTCCTGAGTTTCGAGACTTCCTCCTGACAAAACTAATCAATGCTGAAAATGCCTGCTACAAATCTGACAAATTCGCCAAACTAGAGGTGACACACACACACACACACACTCACACAACCGCCCTCAAACACAGCATGCAAGGCAGCTTTATTTATATACATTTCATACACGTACTGTAGACAAATCATATGCCTTACAAAGGCAAAGAAAAATGGCAGCGGCATTAAAATTGGTTATGACAAAATGAAGATAAAACATTGATAAAATGAAAAGAAGAAATAAAAGGTCTGAAATTGAAATCTAGCAGTTGCAGTGCAGAAAGTGCAGCATAAAAACCCGTCAATCACATGCAAAGTACAATAGCAGAGTTTTCAGTTGAGACTAGAAAGTGGGACACATTTAAGGTCATTAGGAAGCTGATTTCATTTATGTGCAGTATAGTAGCCAAAAGCAGCTTCACCCTGTCTGGGTCTGACCTGAGGTTCTACCAGCTGACTGCGCTAAGGATCTCAGAGCCCTGCTGGGTTTATTCTTCAGGGAGATCAGAAATGTACAGTGGGTAC